AAGTTAGTAAAATGAAACTATTGTCTCATCTAACAGTTAAAGTATGTAACTGAATACCGCTAATGAAGTTAGTAAACTGTTAGATGAGACAATAGTTTCAGTAATCTATGTAACTGAATACCGCTAATGAAGTTAGTAAACTGTTAGATGAGACAATAGTTTCAGTAATCTATGTAACTGAACATGTAACTAATGGATTTTCGTGTGTTCTAAAAATGGAAGACGTTCTTCAAACATCAGGAAATATTGATGAAAAATAGGTAGAATATAACATTTTTAAATTTTCCTGGTTTTTATTAGTTGAAGAAAATAATGGTAAAGACAAAAAGTGACCCATTTTTCATTCAGGCCCAATATAATATACACAGACAATGTTATCACTTTGTAGGGCGCCCTCTAATGGCTCAGCGATGAGTCTGAGGGTTTGTAACGATAAAATTAGGGTTTCTATATCAGCGTTGGGCAAAAGGCATATCGCTCATTGTGTAGCTACAAACAAATAAACTTTGTATCAATATAAAAGACATTGAGTATAACTAATAATGTGATTGGATGAGATTTCAAACCTTATTTTAGATCGTTTAACATAATACAAGATGTAATATACTAGCTCCAGTTCTGAAGAAATGTCACATGTAAACATTTTAATTTCATCTTCTGATTTAACGAACAAAAACATAGCTCTAGCTGTCGACGAACAAAGAACAATAAAACCTACAGACGTATAGGTGACACACTAGTGTCGAGGAACAAAGAGCAATAAAACCTACAGACGTATAGGTGATACACTAGTGTCGACGAACAAAGAACAATAAAACCTACAAACGTATAGGTGATACACTAGTGTCGACGAACAAAGAACAATAAAACCTACAGACGTATAGGTGACACACTAGTGTCGAGGAACAAAGAACAATTAAACCTACAGACGTATAGGTGACACACTAGTGTCGACGAACAAATAACAATTAAACCTACAGACGTATAGGTGACACACTAGTGTCGACAAACAAATAACAACAAAACCTACAGACGTATAGGTGACACACTAGTGTCGACGAACAAAGAACAATAAAACCTACAGACGTATAGGTGATACACTAGTGTCGACGAACAAAGAACAATAAAACCTACAGACATATAGGTGACACACTAGTGTCGACAAACAAATAACAATAAAACCTACTGACGTATAGGTGACACACTAGTGTAGACGAACAAATAACAATTAAACCTACTGACGTATAGGTGACACACAACCTACAAACATTTAGTTACATCACCAGCGTCAAGGAAAACAAGCATTGGCTAAAAGTTTGTAGGAAGAAAGTCTGAGCATAGGAAGTGGTACTGAATGTGACCTCTGACCTCGTTGTATTGAACGATGAAGTAGAGGGATCAGCAAACGCGGACACTTAAAGCTCAGGGGCTGTTCCTCCCGACAATTACGTCGTTACAGGTTTTACCAGGTTACTTATTCGTTAATTATTCGTACCTGTCCAGCTAAATTCCAAGTGGTACTTGTGAATTCGAAAACGAGAAACAACTATGTATTCTTGGATCATCAGCCTATAAAGTATGTTTATATATGTAGGTACAACTTGAGGTATTAAAACTCACTGAACTTTGACTTGGCCTAATATTCGATGCATGTTAAAATGTGTCACCAGATATCTGTGACTTGACCCTGGGGTTTGTAAAGATGTAAAGTTAGACAGTTACAGCACCCTGCTGGTAAGGATGGTAAAAAATATTGTAGTGAACTATTTCCTGTATCGACAAAATCTTAAAAGGAAAGGACCAGTTTAAATGACATAGATTTAAACAAAGATTAACATCCCATTAATTGAAATCTTCGGAGAGACACCTGGTGGATAAACATGTAATGATCATTATATTTCGACACCTGGCGGAGTACATATACATGTAGCTATCATTACAGTTAGACACCTAGTGGAATACAGAAACATATAGCTGTCATTACAGTTAGACACTAGGTGTAGTACAGAAATATATAGCTATCATTACAGTTAGCCACCTGGTGGAATACAGAAACATATAGCTGTCATTACAGTTAGACACTAGGTGTATTACAGAAATATATAGCTATCATTACAGTTAGCCACCTGGTGAAGTACAGAAACATATAGCTATCATTACAGTTAGCCACCTGGTGAAGTACAGAAATATGTAGCTATAATTAAAGTTAGACAGCTGGTGCAGTACAGAAACATATAGCTGTCATTATAGTTAGACAATAGGTGGAGTAAAGAAACATATAGCTATCATTACAGTTAGACACCTGGTGTTGTAGAGAAACATATAGCTATCATTATAGCTAGACAATAGGTGGAGTAAAGAAACATATAGGTGTCATTACAGTTAGACAATAGGTGGAGTAAAGAAACATATAGCCATCATTACAGTTAGACACCTGGTGTAGTAGAGAAACATATAGCTATCATTACAGTTAGACACGTGGTGTAGTACAGAAACATATAGCTATCATTACAGTTAGCCACCTGGTGAAGTACAGAAATATGTAGCTATAATTAAAGTTAGACAGCCGGTGCAGTACAGAAACATATAGCTATCATTACAGTTAGACAATAGGTGGAGTAAAGAAACATATAGGTGTCATTACAGTTAGACACCTGGTGTAGTAGAGAAACATATAGCTATCATTACAGTTAGACACCTGGTGTTGTAGAGAAACATATAGCTATCATTAAAGTTAGACACCTGGTGTAGTACAGAAACATATAGCTATCATTATAGCTAGACAATAGGTGGAGTAAAGAAACATATAGCTGTCATTACAGTTAGACAATAGGTGTAGTAAAGAAACATATAGCTATCATTACAGTTAGACACCTGGTGGAGTACAGAAACATATAGGTATCATTACAGTTAGACAATAGGTGTAGTACAGAAACATATAGCTATCATTACAGTTAGACACCTGGTGGAATACAGAAACATATAGGTATTATTACAGTTAGACACCTGGTGGAGCACAGGAACATATAGGTATCATTACAGTTAGACACCTGGTGGAATACAGAAACATATAGGTATTATTACAGTTAGACAATAGGTGGAGTACAGAAACATATAGGTATCATTACAGTTAGACACCTGGTGGAGTACAGAAACATATAGGTATTATTACAGTTAGACACCTGGTGGAGCACAGGAACATATAGGTATCATTACAGTTAGACAATAGGTGTAGTACAGAAATATATAGCTATAATTAAAGTTAGACACCTGGTGGAGCACAGAAACATATAGGTATCATTACAGTTAGACAATAGGTGTAGTACAGAAATATATAGCTATAATTA